GGAAGAAAAGTTTGTCCTAGAGTGGGACTTGAACTCAGCATCATCTGCATATCATACATATATGGTATCAGTTAAACTATCTAAATGTCCATCTAATCTTTACTTTTTTACCAATATCTACTATATAACCTAACATATATAGAAGGGTTGGGCAAGCAAGAGGTCAGTGGGAGCCAAAATGTAGGTTTTGCAAAATGCATTTGAGCTACAGTTCTGTACTTTTTATTCTGTACTGCAGTTCTGTGCCACGACTTTATTATATAATATAAATATAATATAAAACAAATATTGAATTTTTTTAATAAACATATTTTCACAAAATTGTGGAAATAAAATTGTAAAAATAATAGTATAAAGCAGAAATTAACACTTTCAGCAAGAGCTACATGTAACTCAAAAAGAGCCGCATTTGCCCATGGTGGATATATAGTTAGATTATATAGTCAACACAATAATACATAGCCTCAGGTCCTTTTGACTTAAGACTGTGAAGATAGTGGTTTTGAAACTATGTGGATTCCTGGATTCAGATGGTATGAACAGTGGACAGAAATCTGAATCCAGGGATCCAGATAGTTTAAAAACTGCAGCCTTTAAGGCCTTGGTCAAAAGGGCTTAAAGGCTTTCAGACTCTTCCAAAATGTTTGTCAGAGTAAATGATTCTGTATATTATTATGACATATCTACAGTAATTACCAAATACAGTGGTACCTCAGGATACAAAATTAATCCGTTCCAAAACTAAGATTGTATCATGAAAATGTCGTAAGGTGAATCATTTTTCTGCATACAATTATATGTAAAATCAAATAATTCATTCCAACATGAAAAACACACTTAAATTAAAGCTAAGTAGTACATTAAAAATAATAATAATAAATATAGTAAGGAAAACACTGAAAAATGAGTTTTGTAGTTGTAAATGTATAAATAACCATAATAGAATAATAATTGATAAAAAAAAATTTTATTTTATTTGCACTTTACCTTTGAGGATAGACGATGGTAGAGGTGTGTAAACTGGTGACGGAAGAGAGGGATAAGGGAAATGATACTAAAACTTAACTTACATAACATAATGTAACAATAACTTAAAAATAACTTAGAAAAGATTAAAAAAAAATTAGTGTTGTTTTATATATTTCTTTTTTAAATTTTTATTCACTGCTTTTTGCTTTCTTTCCTTCACTTCCACCAGCACTTTCACTAGATAGAGATTGCTTGGTAAAATATCTATCCAAAGAGGTTTGGCTTTGCCTACTTTTTAAAATGTTTCTAAAATGACATTTGCTTAAGTCAGTGTGAACCTTTTCGGGATGTTTCTTTTCAATAAAATCGGTCACTTTCTGATAATACCTCAAGATTTCCTTTATCGAGTGAGATCCTTTCACGACGAAGCAAACACACGGACTGAGACCGAAGAACAGAAGTGAATAAAAAATGGCGCTGCAAACTAATGTAATGTCGTATGGTGAGTTTTTGTTTATATCATGGAGCAAAAATATGTTTGAATTTCATGTCGTATCTTGAAAATTTTGTATGCTGGGGCGTTCATATCCTGAGGTACCACTGTATCTAAAGTCTGATTTTATTATGCTGTCTTTGGCTAAACATAAAATATGTATATAACATATTTTATATTTATCCAAACTTACTTCAAATATTAAATAAACAGCTGGATTCCTTTATTGGGTTATTAAGATTAAATAATTACTGAGTAATACGCTGTAATTATTGGGTTGGTTGTATTTATTATGTATCATGCTATCATGCTTGGGTTAAAAGTGGGTGTGTGAAAAAATTATCTTCTTCTCAATAACTGGAACAAATTACTAAGCACAATCAACAAAACCTTTAACATCTAGTAACAAAATTTTAATGTAAAAATGACATATGTTTTTAACCTTAAACAAGATCTGCATCAGGTCAACAATGATATTCTATATAGTTCATCAATTTTTACATTAAAATTTCATTACTGTATGTTAAAGGTTTTGTTGATTGTGCTTAAAAGTGTAAACTGGCTGAGAACCCTCAAGGGCCATAGGTGATAAGTTGCTTTCATTCAGCACTGTGAGCAATCAATATGGTTAGGTCTAAATTAGTTAAGTAATTAATTAGTCTGGAAATGAAAGCTAGATAGAGAGCTGGATAGTGTAACTGATAACACATCTGCACAATAAACAGGAGTTGTGGGTTCCAGTCCACACCAGACTGATCTATTCTTCCAGAATATTCTAAAATTAAATTTATTTCTAATTATTAAATTTAACAAGAGATGGAAGCCTAACCACCTATCTTAAATACTTTTAAGCTGAATATCTAAAACCTTATTTTATCAGGTTTTAAATATTTGGCTTGGAAATATTTGTATTTTAAATAATTGAATATAGTTTTTATATAATTTGATCTAATTCAAACCTTGGAAGTTTTTCTAAAAGTAAATGTGCTTTTAAGCCAAATTTCAAATCATTGAATGGTGTGTAATGTAAATGTACCAAAAAGAAAATAATTAATTACATTTAGAAGTGTTTCTGTAATATGTATTAAAAATATAAAACATCAAAAATTCATTTTTTTTATATATGTATCAGTAATAAATGTATATTGAAACACAATGAAGTATTAATATTGTACAAAAATATAAAATACAAAAATTATTTATGTATGCCAGAAATATTATTAACTAGGCATTTATTAATTCCTTTGCTGCATATACTGTCATATTTATAACTTATGATTAAGAATATTTTAATTTTCTTGCTCATAAATTATAAAAATATTACTTTATTTTAACTTAATCATGAACATGCTATAATATCATTATTCTGACATTAAATATCTGCTTTTAATGGATTAACACATTACAATATTTTAGACTATGCACTTTATTCATCCATCATCAGAGTCAATCTCAAAAAAAGAAAAAATTACAGAATTTTTTATCAGACATTATAATGAAATCAAACTTATTTCATAAAATTTAAATTCAGAATTAAATGATCAAATTTCAAATAACACACAGATATGTACAGAAAAAACATATTTGATTCATTGTATGGATTTGTGCATTATTTGGAACTTGACCGTTTGAATTTGAATTTAAATTTTATGAAACAAAAGATTCCTTATTGAATGTTTTAATGAAATCAATTCTGTAATTTTTTTTAAAGATGGACTAAGATGATGGATGAATAAATGTCCAAAAGTGCTTAGTCTATAATATTGTGCTATTTCATTAAAAGCAAATTTTAACTTAAACTGGATTCAAATGAATGTTAATTGATGAAGATTAATTCATTAACTAACTACTTAATCATAAATTACAAATGCAACTATAACTTCATTCCTGACTGCAACACTTATCTGGAAGATGAAACATAATATTAAAAGTATACAACATCAAAATAGTTATATTACAATAACTTTTAAAAAAAAATTCTACACTCTTCTGTGTTTTCAAAGTACAGAAGAGTGTAGAATTAAATTTTTTACATGTAATTTTAGTTTTATATTATTTTATGAAAATTTATGGTATAATGTAAAAGAGTGGTGAAACTTTTTTTGAAAATCATAAACATGCATTTTAAAACAGTGAAAAATTATTATTCAAAGTGAAATTATCATCAATTTAAATAAATAATACAAATTAAATTATATTTTAAAGATAAGTGATAGGATATAGATACAATTTCTTTCATTTTATCATTTAGAATAGTTTGTGTAATACACAGTAAAAGAAAATGTATCTAGTTCTTATCTTTATGCTATTGTATAATTGTTTTATTTCTATAAATACAAAAATTAGAAAATTATACAACATGGATAGAAACTAAGCAAATTTTGTATATTTTAAATAATTTAAGTCTTCTCACTCTCTCTCTTTCTTTTTTTCAATTTCTTAATTTTTATAATTTTAAAATAAAAAGTTAAGAAATTGAATGATTTCCATATTAGTTTGTAGAATAGATGTTAATGAATTAATTTTAAAATATTCACATTTTGAACATATTCAAGAATAATTTGAAGCTTTTGCTTAAATATTTTATATTGCTAATGTGAAAATTTTTGAATACTTGAACAAGCTCACCCCAAAACTAACCATTGCTCAATTGATTGGATTTTTTCCTCATGAATATGAAATTACTAAACAACTATGTTGTATATAATTTAAATCTAAAATTATATAAAATAAAAATTTCTTTTACAAAAAATTTTATAACAAGAATTTTTAATCAATCGCATACTTTAAATTGGTGTGTGATAAGAGCTGATTTGAGTTGAATGATTTAACATTTTCTACTCTGCAGATAGGTTTTTTTTGCCTATTATGCTTATCATGCCAGACCTACAATGGGGTACTTAAGGGAGTGATGGGTGAAGATGCCTGGCTAATTTGGGTCAAGTCACCTATGAAAGTTTGAGGTTCCAAATCAGACCTTAAACCCAGATACCTAGAATAATGATGACTTGAATAATTCTAATTTGACATCCAGTCTTTATATTATAGTCAGGATATTTTTTAATGATATTATAATCATATTTACATAAATGCCAATTATAGTGTAATTTTATGTTATGTTACAATAATTGGTTTTATGTTAATAACTCATATTCAGATTAATAGAATCTTCAGTTATAAAAACTCTAATGAACATTGATAAATAATAATGACAATGATGAAAAAGACAGAAAAGAAATGAAAACATATATTTAAAATTATTATATTAAATAGAAGAATATAATTATTTAAATTACTTCAAAAAATTAGATTGAAATTTAATTTTATCTTCTTTATCTTGGATTCCTTCAGCTTCAAATTATTTTTAGATAAATTTTTAAGAGGTATTTTTCTATTTATAATTTTGAATAACAACATTTCTTTTCATAACAGTTTTGTTTCTGGTTCATTTGTAAATAATTTTAAGTGAAGAGAATTCTGAACCTTTGCTTTAATATATTTTGTAAGTAGCCTATTATATGTGTAATAATTATTATAGTGGAAAGGAACATCACGGCCATCTCGTCTTCAAACTCGACCATCTACTGGATTACTTCGTCATATCCTTCAACAAGTTTATAATCATTCTGTTACAGATCCAGAAAAATTAAATCAGTATGAACCTTTTTCTCCTGAGGTAGGTTTTTGAAATTGTTATGTTGATGGTAAATTTTTATTTTAATTTTTATTTTATAAATAATAATTAAAATAAAAAAAATCAGAAGCTTATTTAGAAGCTTATAAAAAAAATCAGAAGCTTTATCAGAAGTATTATATTAAAAAATCAAAAATGATAAAGATAAAAAATGGTGAATTTTTTCCCTGGTTTAAATATATACTCTCATGTAAATTGTATTGTATTTTTTTGGCATCTCATTCACGTTTAATAATGCACTATGAGTAACTCTTGTCATTTACATAAAAATTTCTGCATTCTTTAAAAGTTTCTTCTTTATACTCTTATTATTATTATTATGTTTAATTATGTGATGTCAGCATGATCTTTGTATTCTCTAAGTTTATATTGCTTTGAATTTTTCAATTTTAGTTTGCCTTGTTTGACAGAAGTCAGAATCAGAAAGTTCCTGCATTTTTTTACAGAGATTAGACTTTTGCAAAAGATTTACAGTGAACATTTTAGATTAAATTGCTAGGCTTTTACTCACATTTTCAATTGACACTGACACAAACAAACACTGTACATACTTACTCCAGCAGATAGCATTTCATGGAAATTACAAATGTCTTTGGCAGCAGTGAGAGGTCTTCCTCAAGTAAAAGAGCCATTCCACAGATAGAACAAGGGAGAACATATTAAAAAAAATGGAGAAATGTTCCAAACAAAATATGATGCAGTTTGAAATTTACAAGATAAAATAAACGGCCAAAAAACATTTAATTTTACAGAATGTGATTGAGTTAGACCAGTGTTTTTCAATCTTCTTCAATAAGCGACCCCTTTACAAGTTAAAAAATTCTGGCGACCCCTAGGGCCATAAATATCGATCAAAAAACCAATGGTACTGTAAAATAAACAGGCACAGCCTTCTCACTGAGATTGTAGTTTTTTTATTGTAGTGTAGGACCTACAAAAACTTGTCTTTTTCTTTTACCCATGATCCCCTGTGTAAGGCTTTGTGACCCCCCTGGGGGTCGCGACCCACAGGTTGAAAAACACTGAGTTAGACAACTGATCTCATCTATATATATAAAAATGAATGTATGTCTGTCTGTGTGTCTGTGTGTCCTATGTCCTTCATGCATTACCACACCGTTTATCCGATTGCCATGAAACTTTGGGAAGTTGTTTAATATACTCTCGCGCAGGTTTGTGGCATAGTACGATTGCCATGAAACTTCGGGAAGTTTTTTAATACACTCCCGCGAAGTACATTTATCCTACGATAGATGGCGCGCGTTTACACGAGCATTCGCGCATAGTGTGTTTGATCGATTTCAAATTGTGAAGACCATTTCCCCCCTTCAAAAATATATATGTCTCTATATATGCATTTGTGAACTGTTATTTACGATATTTGTAATCATTTTTGTTTAATCACTTTATTTCGACTTTTTTTGCTAATTATGTTTTCGCTCGAACTTCGTTAAAATCTTAACTGTACCCCGAACAACGACCGAAGTTGTAGGAAGAAATTCGCCTATTTTACCGATCTAGGTATCGCCCTTTTTCAAATTTTAATATCGACTCGAAATAATTTAAAAAGACAAATTACAATAAAACGGTTTATTATCTAACTATCAGAAATTTCCCAACATGCCAAGGAAGAGAGGAAGGAGCAATTAAATAATTAAAATTATAAAGGATTTAAAAATATATATATATAAATGGGGAATATCGCGCTTTTGACAATCGCTGCAAGTGTGTGGGCTAAATTTGGAGAATCCGTGCTTCTCGCATGGACAACTGTATGTGGCCAGCTCACGCGTCGGAAAACCTTCCGAATTATTCGTGTACGCACCAGACGAAAAAACAAAAAATATCGTGTATCCACGAGCACTCCAATAAATAAATAGAATTGAAACGACACTTTGAAATGTTTTCCCGATGAAAACGAATAATAATAATATATTTCAATAAAAATGATAAAATGAAAATTTAATTTTATTATAACGAGTTTGCTTGAATTTCATCTCTTCTGAGATCGCAGCAATGCGCGACGGGTAAGCTAGTGCACTATAAAATTGCAGCCTTCCATACATTTGTTAAATGAGCATACACTCATAGTATCCACTTATCAGACACATTACAAGAACTAAATCACATTAAAACATATTGCAGTTAATCATGGGTACAGTGCATCAGTAATTACTACAGTAGCATACCAGAGAGGCCCTGCTAAATACCAAGGTGATTAAATACCTCATTCTCAATTAGGAATCAGAAATGCACTGATTTTACACCAAGTTTGCTAAAAATTTAAATCTCCATCTTACTTAAAAAATCTCCTACTGTATACTTGTTACATACCAATGATAAAGATGCCTTAAATGAATTACGAGCTCCCAGGGAATACATTGCTCCTTTTGTTGAATCCAGATTCAACAGACTATTAACATACATTGGCTCCTCTTGCAGATAGATCTCTGGACATGAGAATTAAAGAACATATGTACGATATCTCCAAACATAACTATGTTATAGTATGTATTGGCCCAATAAGTGTTGGAACACAGGGTGTTTCTCTGCTGGAATGAAGCCAGGCTTTTGTAAAAGATATTTGGTAAATTACAAATAGTCAAAGTTATAGAAATATATAAAGTTAAACCCAATAGAGGTTGCATCAATAACAACATCTCTTTACCTCAAGCATGGCAAAACATTCTATGTACTTGTAATTCATAAAACTACAAGATATTTGTTTAACTTTATTTCTTACATTATTTTTAGTATTTTTGTTTTCATTTTTAAAAATTATATACTTGAAATCCTTGTTAGTTTGATATTCAAGAGACAAAATAATCACAACTTTGAATTATTGAGTTTTGAATTATCCAAGGTTTACATATTTCTGTCATGTAAGTTATTAAGGAAACTGAATACGACTACATATACAGAATGCTATTTTTGTTAATTAATAATAATATGAATAAGCTGCAGGTAAACAGCACATGTCTGGTGAGAACCTCACAGGTTGCCAGTTAAGTTTTCTAAAAAGTAAAGGAGAATTCTTTGAAATGTAGTCCAAATTATTTGTAAAGTGGCCCAAAAAGTAGTAAATTACCCAAATATAGTAGCCCAGAACCTACAAATATCTCAATCTGCTACTTGTAGTCCAATCTTGCAATCCCAGAAACCATCCTTATTTTATGAGATAATAAGAGAGGAAAAAAGGTAGTCCATGTGTAAGGTGACACCCGAAAATGTGTTAATGTAAAAGCAAAGCCATGTTTTTGGTCTGTTGTTCTGTTACAGCATGGAGGCACTTTCATCTAAACCAATGGTTCTCAACATTTTTTTACCGATGGACCCCTTTTCCTCTTAATTTTTTTTTGTGGACTCCATAGATATTGCACGGGAAAAAACCTTATATTTTTCACTAATAAAAAAAAGGAAAACGTTCAGAAATGTCACTGTCAAATGACATGATGCTGATGATATAATATTCTCCTAACAAACCCTGGCTTTGTAATCTCTCTTTGACCTTTGAGATATATATGTCATATATGTATTCAATATTTTAAATAATCTATATTTTAACTCTTATGCAAGAAATGAGTAATAAAGAAATTGACAATATAAATCAGCGTTTCTCAAAGTGGGCGATAACGCCCCCTTGTGGGCGCTGGAGGCTTTCAGGGGGGCAGTAGAAGGCTCAAAGAGAATTGGGGGGCGTTAAGGAAATATAGAGGGGCGACGGCAGACAAATTCTATATATAAAAATTCGACGGAATATATATAAAATGTTGACATTTTATATATTTTTTATTTTTTATTGAAGGTCACAACTTGAATATTTCTAACACATTGACTTTTATTTTAGCTCAGCGTTTCTCAAAGTAAGCAATAACGCCCCCTTCTGGCGCGATGAATAGATCTATGATAGAGGCAGGATATTGAACGGTGACCAAAGGCAAAATTGGGGCTGATAAGAGGAAACATTTTAATGGTTTCCAGATGATGAGAACAATGTACAGAAAGGGCACAAAGTGTGAGATTCATAGAAAAGTTTTCCTAAGAATATTTCCAATCCTTTTCTCACACAAGAGAAAATGGGTTAGGGGGCGTTGGGTATAACTTTATGGAACAAAGGGGGCGGTGGTTCGAAAAAGTTTGAGAATCACTGATATAAATATATATACTGTAGAAATTTAATTCTCAATAAAACAATTGTTCTGAAGTAGAATTACCCTATAGACCACTAAAATATCACTGTGAATCCCCAATTTGGTATTTTTTTTTCGTCGTTCTCTTCTTTGGTATACGTCGTTCTCCTGGAACCAATTACCGACGTAAGGCGAGGTATACCTGTATACATTATAACAAAAATTTCAATAATAATATTTTTAATGAAAAACAAAATTTTTTTTTTTATAAAACTTCTTTCCAAACTACATTTTGAATTTCACTTTTACTTTGAATTTTGATACCAGACTGATCTACATCTTAATACCATATTTTTGTAGATTGTCCGGCATGTCAGTCTATCCAGGGAGACCATGAAATGAAATATTTTATTATGGTAATCTCATTCTCACTTAAACAAACATGCTAGTTTAAGTGAGATTATATATCCCTCTCTAGAAGGCACATTAAAAAACTGAGTGAGTTGTCATGTAAAAATGAACATGTTTTTATTCTAAAACTGTAAAACTGTCAGCATTACATCAAAAACTGTGATTATATGTTTAATTTCTTCATTTTGTCCTCTTTCTAATGATATAAAATACTTGTGAAATACTGAAAGTGCTTTTTTTTATGTTTATTTTATTGTAATTTGATTCAAAAATGCAAAAAAATAAACACATTAAATTTTAGAACTCCCTGTAAATTATCTCAACTTACACTTATTAACATCCCTTTTGTGTGAAATAGAGAGGAAGATGTTATTTTTAAGGTCAGGGTAAATGGTTAGTTCAGCACACACTAACTGCTATTGCTACCACTACTACTAATTGACCACTACTACTACTAAGCCACTAATTGTTTTATTGTCTGTAAAGGAAAACTCTCTTCCCAATTTTAAGTCAGTCAAATTACAACATTGTTATTTTATTGTACTTGGAAGAATGTTTTCTTTAACATATATTTAACAGTTAGTTTTGTTAAATCTGATTTTGTTTTATTATGATTAATTTTGTTTTTTAGTTGCAGTTTAACCAGCATGCCAGTAACTCTGTGGTTCCTGGCATGCTGGTCTCCCTAGTTATATGTGGCATACCAGTCAATCCACAAAAATATGGTAGCATTATGTATAACTGTCCATGACTAAACAATTGCCTATGTATATTTTGACATGATTGAAACTTTGGAACAGTGCTAGAAACCTCTACTAGTTGATATTGACAGTTTTTGTTGTTGTAATATTTGTTTTCTTTTCCTATATTCTTTTAAATGTTTTATGGAAATTTTCACTGGTGTTTTTTGATTATGAAAGACTTTTTTTTATTATGAAAGACTTTTTTCAATAACTGAACTATGATTTTGTTTTTTCCCTTATTTTTATGCAAAGACATAGTAAAATTTGATGTCCCCCCGTAGTGAGGATTCCATAAACATAAACTAAGTTTGGATCTGTTTTGAAATACACTTTCACACTCAAATTAATTGTGATTTAATTATATTTTGAATAAAAACACATTTTTTATTCAAATCACATAAAAGAAACAACCTTTTAATTTCAGGACAAAAAAAAACAAAAACATTCTTTTGTTTTATTTTATTTATTATCAGTTGAACATCCTACAGAAAAACATTCCATTTCCATGGTTACATGGTTTGCTTCACTGTATAAGGTCTTTGTCCACTTGCTAAACATTTTTTGGGTAATTCATTAATTTTCAGGGCCTCTATCTGTAGTTTTTTCCCAGCCAGTGTAAGTAGCCTAACTTCCTGCTTGCTTTGCTAATTCACTCCATCATTTTACAGACTTGTTTCTAACATAGACTATTCATAACATGAATTTTGTGACGATTCATTGATTCTCAGTGCTGCTGTTTTTAATTTTTTTTTTAATGATTTTAAGCTAAATAGATTAGATTATGTAAACATGCAACTCTATTGTTATTTAATTAAGCATCAATATATAATGTAATATCCAAATACTTAACAATTCAATGTAATAGTCTTAAATATTAATAATTGCAAATTATGTTAATGTTAATGACTATACAATACTAGACAGTATACCATTCAGTACAATGTATAACATTTGGAGCTGCTCACTTAGATACATATTACTAGAAACAGAATAATTATTTCAATTGTGGACATAAACTTGAGCATAAAATATTAATTTTTTCCTATTAAATTAGCATGTTTTCCCATAAAACTAAAAATAAAATTATTATTTTTTTAATAAGTTTAAAGTTTGTGGTTTTATTTAACAATTAGATGTGGCATTATTTTCTTTGTAATATTATTTCTACATTATTTCAGGTCTATGGTGAGACTTCTTATGAGTTTGTTGCACAGATGATTAATGAAATTGAAATAAATGAAGATGACATATTTATTGATCTTGGAAGTGGTATGGATTAAAACTAATTTTTTCTTTTAATATTTAAAAACAATTAAATGTAAAGATTTAATTAAAAAATAAATTAGAAAAATTTATTGAAATATTTAGTTGAAATTTAAAACATGCCTTAAAGCTTATTGGAAAAAAATATACAAATGACATTGTATATGATTAGGAAATAAAATTAAAGAATCCAAAAATATAAAATGTTTGATGATTTAATTACAGTAGAGCGTCGTTTATCCGAATCAATTGGGGACTGGGGTGGATCGGATAACGAATCATGTACGAAAAAATATATTAATTTATCCTGTGTTGAAATTTTTCTTGTTTGCGTATCGCTTTACGTTGAATTTTCGTCGATGTTAAGCCTAACGAAGACTATTGTATCGTTAAAAATTATTTTTTTATTTTGTACAAACAAAATAAATATATTGAAAAATATAAAAACAATAAAAATTATACTTCAGATGTTAATTTAGTATCAAAAACGTAAAATATTTGAGTAACCCAAGAAATAGCCAAAGATTGCAGCGCCACAGCACTAGCGAAAATTAAAATTTGCCGACTGGAATGCTTTCAGATAACCAGCTTTCGGATAAACGACTCTCTACTGTATATTATTAATTCTAGGATTACAGAAAATGCATAATGTATTTTGTTTTTATTCTTCAATTTTGCTTTTAATTTATGTTTAAAAAAAGGTACAATGAAAAATTGAAAAGGTACAAATGAAAAGGTATAAAGATAAATAAACTTAATATAAAAGTTTTTTTCTTGTAGTTATTTATTTGAGAGAAAACTAAAGAAAGATATCCTACTATCCATATTAAAGCTGCTATACCAAACAGTCTAAAAGTTATCAAATATTAAGTGTTTTTATAATGCTTTAACTTCAAATATGTATCTTATTAATATTAAGTTATTATTATTAAAATTTCCGTTCTAAAATATATTTAATTCATTATTATGATTATATGTTAAATATATCATTATAACTATTGTTCTTAAAATTTTATTGTAATAAGTTACTCTGAATTAAGAAATCTTTGAACAAACATTTCTTTTCCTAACCTGGCACATAATTTTAATTTTTAAGGAGTTGGTCAAGTAGTGCTACAAATGGCTGCAACAACAATCTGCAAAATGTGTTACGGTATTGAGAAAGCAGATGTACCTGCTAAATATGCAGAGGTAAAAATTATTAGAATTTGTATTTTTTCTTATTCTATGATACATATGTAACATTATAAATTAATTTGTATAATTAATTAATAATAAATTATGAATTACAAATTTAAATTCTAATGTTTTAAAATATTTTAAGCTTATTAAGCATTAAATTTTAATATATTGAATAAAATGAAACAATAGATCTAATTGTTCATGTGTTAATTGTGATAATTTAGTTAGATAACTAGATTTGTTTTATAAATGTTTTATATTTATTTTGTTAAATTTCATTGGAATTATTTTAATTTCATACACAACTCTACAGATAAAACAAATATGACAATGTCATTCAATTTGATTATTTGTAGGCATTTCTGATAATGAATCATGATAACTTTAAAATACCCAAAAGCTTATTATTTCTGGTTTTTTTTTTTTTGGAATTTTCATCTATTAAAGCATTATTTTTCATCAATCCTTAAAACGGATTTGTCATCTATTTAATATTTCATAATGAATTTATAATGGTTTTAATTAAAATCATCAAATTTATAAGCATTATTTACAGCAATAATGAGTTTGTGCATTAATATTTTCTGTAAAATAAATACTTGCACAAAAATCATTTTGTTTATTTGTTGTTGGTCAAGTACAGGATATGATTAATTCAAGAAAGTTAATTTATAAAATTTAATCACTCAAATATTTGTATGTATTAAAAAATTTAAAATTTCAAAATTCAAATCTAAAACGATTATGTGAAATAATTAATTGATATCTTTTGCTACAACTCATGCAATTAGGAAAAATATACAAAGCAATTAATAAATCCTTGTGTAATTCAATAAAAGTTTAACAAATATTTTTATTAAATTTACTCCTAGTTTGTTAGCATGCTTATCTTTTGAGCATCTGATATCATGGATTAATGAGTTAGGTCCACTGTATTGAGTCTGTCATCTCAGCAATTCGTGAGTTAAAATCTCCAAATAGGAGACTATATGGAGTGATGTGCTGTCGTAGATCAATTATTTTGAAAATTTCATTGAGTTTTACCAAACAACTGGGAGGAATATAGGCAATCATCAATTGACAGTTTTTGTTTCTGAGTATAGGTTTATTCATTGACAGTAGTAATAGAATGTAGTTATTGGATTTTTTTAACTTGGAGTATTTTACACAGGTGTTTTTTATTAAAATGCATAGGCCACCACTTGGACATCCAGGGCCAAGTGGTTTACATGCTGACAATGTTTCAGCAATACAAGCATTGAAAAAAGTTTATTTTATAAAACGATTCAAGTGTTATCCAAGTTTCAGTTATTCCTATGATATCTGGTTTATGTTTTAATTGTAAGGAATTCAATGATGGTAGTTTGCTTTTGAGGCCTTGGCTGTTCTATTTTATAACAGAAATTGGTTGCTTGTTTATGGTGTCTTTTTTTCTGGTGAAATTTATTTTGATGTGTTGTGTATCAACTTGCAGTTTTTGTTGACATAAGAAAAGGCATAAAGGTATCTGCATAAACCAGTTTCCCTGTAACAATACTGTATGTTATTCTGTCCAGCTTATTAATAAAATATCATTTTGTAGTTTTATTTGACGATTTTGTTTCTTATGTCATAATAGGATGGAAGTAAGTGTTTTTGTCTTATTCGTGATTCTTTAGGAGGTCTGGGAAAATTTGCATGTGTTTCCAATTTTCCAATAGGTTTTGCTGTTTCATTGTTATAAAACCATTAAAAATCTGGTCTTGGATCTGTTTATTATTAAATGTTAATCTTATGACTGGATTAGTTGATTTGGTTATTTGAATATCATCTAGCACATCATTTTGTGATACATTATGTAAGTTTAATGTAAAGTTGATAAATTTGTGAATTTCTATTTTGGAGATATTTTTTGAAATAGGGGATAGTTATTATATTGCTATAGTGAAGTTCATTGAACAAAGCATCCATTTTGTACTGCGTGAGTTCTTTTTCCGTTTTTAAATTATTAATTTGCTGATTTAGGTTACTGGTTTGGCTTTCCATTTTTTGAAACTGTAGTTTATTTTCACATATACTTCCATGAATTAGATCCAAGTCTTCTTCTATAGAAGACATTTGGGTAGATAATTTATCATTAAGAGATATTTATCAGTTCCAGGATTTTATATCACAGAGCTGTTGTTGGAGCATCTAGTGAGTCACCTGAATTAGTCAGTAAGATTGGATAAAGTTCATTAGACTCACCTGGAGAGTTTTGTAGACTTTGTGATATTGTGTCCGTCTGAAAGTTGTTAATCATTAAAGATAAATCTTGTGAATCTTTATCCACTTGTAGATTTAAGTCTGTTAATAGCTTGGAGTTAAGATGGGCTTGATTGATCCTTTTTACTTCCCTGCTTGGTTTGGCTTAGTGGAGGTCTACCAAGTTTAATCGGTTAACATTGCATGTCAATTAATTTTTAGTATTTTTTCAAAAGATAGTAATTTGTGATTAATTTTAAATGACTTTTAGTTAACTTGGTTTAAATAAAGAATCTTCAAATATCGAATAAATATAAAAAACAAAAATAATTTTTGTAACTTCTTATTTTTGTAACTTGGTTTAATTAAGGATGATAAATACACTAATTTCTTGTTTTTTGTCGAAGTGTGAAGAGAAAATCACTAGCAGCCATAGCAGTCAAATTTAACAAATATTAAAGAATCATTCTTACAATCAAATAATAATAATACATTTTTCCATATAATTAACAATGTAAAAACTAATAGTTAAATAAACTAACTGTTTAGAAATCCAAACAATTTTTCATGCATTAAAAAATCGTTTTATCTTTTTTAACATATATTACAATTCATCTTTACTGTTTACATATTATTTATTTTAATAATTATTTTTAAATAACTAAGAATCATTTCTATGAGGAAAATTGATCTAGTATGCTTAAAAATAGTTCTGCTTGAGAAAATAATTTTAATAGTTGACTAAATGTAATTTCGTTTTGATTATAAATAATATATTATACTGACCAGTTAAAATCTTTTAACTCTTTCTGACTTATTTTATGTGACCAGACCCACAAGAGGACTGTTGAGTCCTGAAAATGGGATCTGATGTATTTAAATGTAACAAGCCAAGAAAATTTGAGAATCAAACTAGTCTTAATTATTTAATTAAATCAGGTTCTGCAGAGTAGCAGGCTGATTCATTTGTCATTTTGGCCATTCATTTATCAATTTAGTGTTATAATGTTATGATTATCTGTAAGCATGTAACAAAGTTTCATAATAGAAAATAGCAACACGAAAGCTCAGTCATCAGAAGTTTTAAAATTTTCTAAATATTATGATGATGTAAATGATCGTAGATGATGAGTATATATACTCCAAATAAATTAAAATAATTTCAAAAACATTTAACAAAATAAATTTAAGGTAATTTCTAGAAAGTATTATTAATATATAGCTGAATATATTGTGACTAAAGTCAATTTTATGTTTTTTTATTACTATAAGCATATGCCAGACTTTTTTCAAATATTATTTGAAAAAATTTTTTATTACATAAAAAATATTTTTATTTAGATTTTAATATTGCATTTGTTTATATGTAAAAATTAATATAAATTAAGTTACAAATGAGACTTTTCGATAAAAATGAGAAATTAAAAAAGCTAATTTGGTTATTTACTAAATTAGAAACGGAAATAGATTTTAAACTAGAACTTTTATTGAATGAATTAGTTAAACACAGAATAATAAAAGGTGAGAAACAGAAATTCTTCAGGTTTAACATGAATATTATATTAAAAAATTGATAACAATTATATCATTTATCTATCTGGTCTTTTATTATTGACTGCAACATAATTAAAATTTGACATTTCCTTAATATGATAAATATTATATGGAATTTCCAAGTATATTTTAAATCAAAAATGTTTCAAAATTAACAGAAAGAAAACATGTCTAATTAACTTCTTTCATCATTATTATTTAAAGTAATTCATCTTTTTCAACCAATTAAAATCAATGAAAGTTCTATTTTTATATTTGGTCTAATCTTGAACTATCACATGGCTTATTTTGGTGATTATATAAAATATAACTGCTTTAAGAGAAAATACTAGAATGGAATACAATAAATGATAGATTTGTCTCTTTAAAATTTTATATTTTAACATTATGATTACTTTGTTATTGTAAACAGTTTTTTAGTTTAATTTTGAATTATAAAATCTAAATTTATGTAAAATATATGCTGTTGAAATTAACAAATTACTTAATTTTTATGAAAATATATTTATGAAGAATTATTGTATGAAAATAAGTTGACAATATTGATAAATTATTAAAAGTTAATTTCTTTTATTTTGAATGTGTGATATATAATAATTTTTTCTACTCTTTGAACACTAAGAGAGCCTGCTATTGTGCATGAGTTCAATCACATTCACTATGGGACAATTTGATGGTAAGAAATAGAGCCAAATATATTGTAATCAAATCATCCATGAAAATTTTTCACCATCACTTGGAACATAGATTCCTCTGAGCAACAGACCTTTAACACTTTGGCCTTGACCATTCAATCATTGATTATAATCAGTATTATGGCATTTATTGCTATCAGAAAATCTCAACATAACAATAAGCAGATGCTACTGTGTCTGTAGTCTGTTATTTAATTCTGTCAGAATTAGCATGTCTCAAGACATAATTTAAAATAAACATTACTGATTGTAATCAGAATTCAATTATAGTTATACAAAAGTTTGGAAATTTTGTTTATAACTTGTCTTTTAGAATATTAGAGGTAGAAGATCAGATTGGAAGACAGTGGTCAATTATTATTTGGAAATTTGTAAAGAATACTTGAATGTAAGACATTTTTTGAGGAAATATGTTTGCAGTTTCTCCATAGTATTATACCTTCTGCATACAGCCAAACCCATTATGATGTTTAAGAGTAAGCTTCTTGTCAAAATTAATGCTTAGACCTTTAGTGCTGTTAAACGTCTTTAGTATTTTAATTGTATATTTTAAATG